CGGTGCAAATCACAGGTCACTACCACGTGCACCATCTCCTCGGAAACCCCGAGTTTGCAGCTCCAGAAGTCATCCAAGGCCTTCCCGTGTCCCTGAGCACGGACATCTGGAGCATTGGGGTCCTCACCTACGTCATGCTGAGCGGCGTCTCTCCCTTCCTGGACGAGAGCAGAGAGGAGACTTGCATCAACGTGTGCAGAGTGGATTTCAGCTTCCCCCCGGAGTACTTCTCCGACGTGAGCCACGCTGCCAGGGATTTCATCAACGTTATCCTGCAGGAGGACGCCAGGAGGCGGCCGACAGCGGCCACCTGCCTGCAGCACCCCTGGCTGCAGCCGCACAACGGCGGCTACTCCAAAGTGCCGCTGGACACGTCCCGCCTGGCCTCCTTCATCGAGCGCCGCAGGCACCAGCACGACGTGCACCCCGTGCCCGGCRTCAAGAGCTTCCTCGTGAGCCGCCTCAGCGCGGGCACGTAACGCCCGGGACGGGCCCCGCTGACGGCCCCGCGCGCCGCGGATCCGTCTGTACACAGCGGGATTTCGGCACCGCATTCCTTGGGGTTTTCCTCAGGGAAGGCTCCRATCCGGTCGCGGTATCCACCCCGTTGCTCAGGCGCGGAGTGCAGGGGGGCGCCTCGGAGAGGTCCTTGTTCCCTCCCCTTGGCAGGCTCTGCTTGGGAAACCTCTTGCCTTGTCTGCCATAAAGTGGGGCTGTCGAAAACACCGAAACACAAGAGCCAGGTCTGCAGTTGCCTTTCCCTTTGCGAGGCATCCCGCTAAAAAACATCCTCTTGATCCTGCTGAGCTGCTTCCGAGGGACAGGGCCAGCCAGGAGCGGAGCAGCGCGTTTGGAGCGAGGCTCGGCCGACCGCAGCCCGTCCTGCAGAACGGGGCTGAGYCCGGATTTTGCCATGGGGCTCTTCCAGGTTGGATTGTGCAAGCCCTTTATGCCCTGATTTCCAGGACAGCAACCATCGGACCCTATTCCCTGTTGGATCAGCTTTTGTGGTGGCGTGGCTTCAATGCACTCTCGTCACGGGGTAGAGCTCGAACAGACAAAAATCCCACGTTAATCCTTGGGCACGCGGGACCTTTTGGAGCCACGGTTAAGGCAGTGAGTTCACTGAAGCTTTCAGCTGTTTCTGACTAAGCACAATGGGACCATGATGGGKTTTTTTTTTTTAAGAAAAGGCGTTTTATAAACCCTGTACAGAAATCTTTTGCAAAACCTGTGCATTGAGAAAAGGCTGTGTCCAATTTTTGCAGTATCTGTAAACTAGATGATGATGACGACGAAGACAATTTTTTTCTATCACAGGTTTTCAGTATACATATATTGTATCATATATATAAATATATATATATATAATGGATCCTCTTCCATTTCTAGCTTCAGAATTGCTTGGCCCAAAGTCCATCTAAAGCCTTTCAGAGTGCAGTAGGAGTGGTGAGTTCATCCTTGTGCTTGCAGCTTGCAGATGGTTTTCAATGTTTGATGTCCTTTCATTTACAGACTTGTAAATAACGCCCCAGCTGCCGTTAGCACCTCATCACCAAAGCATTCGTAAGCAGATTTTTTATGTCTAAAGCCTAATTTGTAATAAAAGAAAAGAAAAAACACACAAGTAAAATAAACACACAAGTAAAATATTTCTCTCTCRCAAGCCAAGTTGCAACGTCATCGTGTTGATGTTGCAGTGATGGAACCAGCCTTAAGTACGACCATCACAGGGAGCCTGCAGGGACAAATCAGCAGTTCCCAGGCTGGCCAAATCCCTGCTCTTCAGCAGCGGGATTGGGAGGGAAGAGCCTCTCCAGCCGGCGCTTCCCCATCCTGCTGCCCTATTGATGCCCCAGCCTGTGAGCACTGTGTCCCGGTGCCGGGAGCCCTCGCTGCTCCTGTGGTTGGGAATGCCAGTTGCTACCAAAGGTTTTCCTAGGGACCACATGTGCTTGCTGTGGACTATCCTGAGACACCACGAAAGGGCAAGAGTYCAGGTCAAAGCACCATCCAAACAACTGCACTGTGAACCCCGGACACATCTTCAGGAGTGATGGAGCCACTCTGTGAGTATGAGGAACCCTTGGGCCCTGCTGGCCCTTCTCCAGATCCGCATCCAGGCTGAGCTCCCGGCGGGCAGGATCCCGACCCTTCCCTTGGTGCCTGCTCGACCCACATGCGCACGCAGACGCGGTGGGGCAGGAGGTTTATAAACCCCACAGCTTTTACTAGGCCTGTGGGTACAGTCTAAGCCCCAGACTTTCTGCTTGGCATTAATAGAAGCAAACTCTCATGTATCACGTGAAATCTGGAGTTATTTATCATTTTATTCTCTTCTTGCATTCATGTCTTAAACTACTACAACAAGACACTTGGGACACAGAAGGGGAAGAAGTTGAATTGACTGAGGGACCATTTGAGCATCCACTTGCTATCAAATAACAGAGAAAAAAAAAGGMTGAAAGCAGGTACAGCAGGCACATATTTAATTTAATTCTTAGCTCCTCTTCAAAAGAGTGAACTCTGAAGCTTTTGAGTGTTATGGGGTTGTTTTCCTTTATGACTTTGCTTTTCCTATAGTCATTGTAGAAAAACCCTCTTCCTGGGCACTGCTCTTTTCCCATTCAGGAAAACTCGAACCTGTCAATATTTCTGGATATGTTTATGATTACAAACCATTCCTCTGAACGATTTTATTAATTGTTCTGCTTGAATAAAGAACATCACGTTGACAAAAGTGCTGCCATATGATYAATGTGGCACAAGTATTCCGGCTTTGCCCTCTTAAGGTCGTCTCTAGCCGAGCCGTGGCGTCCTTGCAGATCCAGCAGGTTTGGAGCCTGGGTCTCTGTTCCAGAGCGGTTACAGGAGCTCTTCCTGCTCTTACCAACGGGTATGTTTTGCTCTTGCTGCCTTCCTTTGGTTTCAAATAACCTTATTTCTTTCCCAGTGATGGTTATCTCTCAAAGAATTTTACTTAGGAACTAAGTTAATACCGAGGCGAAATCGGTGCCCCCAGGTGCCCTCTGCAGCTCCTGCGGTTTCGTGGAGATCAGGAGCATTTCTGAAGATGCTGTTAGGCCTTTGATACCTAGGGCTTGCCCAAAGGCCCCAAAGAACCGAAGGCAGAGCCAAGCAATGCAGCTTGGCCGTGTATAACCCTGTTTTAATGCCCTTGCAATGGGGGAACGGTATCAAGCGACCTCGGTTAATATAAACTCGMGAGGGAGATGCGAGGGCTGCTGTTGTCCTTGCGGGTGATGAACGTGCACGCAGGCTCTCYGCCTGCACCGGGCTCTGCTCTGCTCCCTGCACACAGAGGTACTTGGGTAGCACGGGGAATTCTGTGATTTTCCTGCTCATTCTTTCCCATTCTGTCAAAATGGTGCTTTCCCGAGGACACAAAATAACCCCCCCCTATACTAGGCTGACTGCACACTGCCATCAAGTGATGAATTCCCGTTCGGGATGTGTATAGTGGTGAGTGTTACCGTAGCGTCAGGATGCTGAATATTTGCTGTAGCTGTATTCTTTATTATGAAGCTAGTGAAAAAAAAAATTAAAAAAAAGAGCATCTCTACTCAAGCCATATTTCACCTTCATGTCCAACTTCTGATGCTGGTGCTTTTACTTCTCTTTCTAACAAACTGTTCAGCGTTGCTCTGCCACTGAAATAAATTTGCTGATRACTTTTGGAAGGCAAATGCGAAAGTATAAAAAAACCCACAAAACTCGGGCTTATTCCCTGAGATAAGAGCAAGCAGCTGGAATATATTGATGCTTTTCAATCTTTGCAACGATCAGTTGAAGGAGGGAAAAAGAAACAGTATTGCAAACTGCTCAGCGTTTTCAAGGTGCAAAAGTAATTCCACAGCCTTAATTATTTCAGTGTATTGCTGGTCTGCCTTAAATGTATCTTCAGTTTTATTGCAGATTTCATTTTGTATGCACACAACGTTGTTTTGTAAAGGTAAGTTTGTAAATATTTTCTTTGTAAGTCCCATCACTCATGTGTACTGTTGTGAGGTGATTACTTTCTGTCACATGTTGTTATGACTACACTGCGGTATATATATATATATATATATGTATATGATCATTTACAGATGTAGCTTCAGACTGTACATCTCCTGTCCTTGCATTCCTATAAATAGAGTATACGAAGGATTCGGTTTCTGGGCTTTTTTGATTAAATACAGTTGTTCAGAGATTAATGGCTCCGTCTTATTTCATGTGCAGGGCGATCTTTTGGTGGCCTCTTTTTGGGCCCCGTGAAGAGGAGGCTCCCGCCAGGCCTGCCCTGTGGGCCCCAAAACCATGGGGAGCGGTAACCCCACATGTTGGGGAGCTGGGCCCTGTGCCTTGGGGGGCTTGTGCCCCACACCTTGGGGTCTGTGTCTGCACCCTATGGGGAGCTGGGCCCTGCACCATGGGGAGCAGTGACCCCACATGTTGGGGAGCTGGGCCCTAAGACTTGTGGGGAGGCTGTGGCCTCACATCTTGGGGAGTTGGGCCCCATGTCTTGGGGGTCTGTGTCCYGCACTATGGGGGATTGTGGCCCCACACCTTGGGGGTCTGTGTGCCATGCCGTGGAGGACTGTGCCCCACGTAGTGAGAGGCTGTGCCCCACATGCTGAGGAACTGTGCCCCACAGCATGCGGCCCGTGCCCTAAGCCTGGGGGATGTGTGTTCCACGCCATAGGGAGCCATCACGCCACACTTGGGAACTGTGCCCCACACACGGGGGGCCCTGGCCCCACATGTTCGGGGGCTGTGCCCCAGGCCGTAGTGCAACGGCCCTTCGCGGACCTGACCCCGCCATGACGGGGCCGAGCCCCTCCACCTCGCCGCCATGGCGAGGCCCCGCCTGGCCGCGGC